AATGTATTTGAGTTTAAAAAAGTGATTTAAAGAAAAATATTCAGGAACCAGTAGTAAAAGCAATAACTAGATGTGTCAAAAATCACAAAGATATTACACCCTATCTGAAGTGTAGGAAAAATGATCTTGCTATTTCATATTGAAATCACAAGAAACTTCCTTTTCTTAACATCAGCTCTGCTTTTGCACGTTTTTTACTAATTAACTCCCAAGAAGTTTAGATTATATGACATTACATTTTGTTACATTTTCTTTCCCCTTAAAATCAAGCCAGTGCCTTTTCTAAGCACTCTGTTGGGCAGTTTTGAGTTTGGCTGTAGATTTGCAGTGGTTTTTGTGGATCTTGAAATGTTCTGCATACACCTTCCCTTCTTTAAATCTTTACAGGGTCTTTCAGGCTTTTGAGATAATTATTTCCTGTGACCCTGAGCCTGTTCCTTATCCCCCTTCCCAGGTCACCCTCTACCCCCACCTCCACACACACACACACACACACTTTTGGCTACCAGCAACTCCACAACAAACTAATGCTTGTCCTTTGGCTTGCCTCAGCACAGCCTCCAAAAAGAACCTTGGACTCAGCAGTCTCAGAGAAAGAATATGTCATTACTGTGGAACCAGAAGTTACTTTTAGAGTCCCCTGCTCTTTAGTAACATTCTTCCTAATTTACTAACCTTTTGTTTTCTTAGTCCCAGCCTGCTGAGCTCTAAGGTACTGCTTGATCCAATCTGCCCAAGCTGTTTCCACTCTGTATGACTGCCTGGATCTCTAACATCAGTTTTACCATCACTCCTCTCAGAACTCCCACTTGGACTTTCCCAGCAAACTTTATTGTTCACATTATAACATTGTTTCTCCTGCTGTCCCCATCCCTTCCCATCAAGGCCAGAGCCTGCTTTCCTCCTTTTCTCTTTAACTATTCAAAGAGATAGCTAAACTGCTTGTATCTCAAAGAAACTTCTTCCATAGACATCAATCCATCTCTGTCATTGCTTCCCTAGCCCCATATCCAGAAATCTTCCCCAACTAGCCTTTTATGGTCGTCCAGTCTTAGGTGCTCCAAGCTACCTTTCTAATCCTGTTTCATTTTAAGTCTTGAATTCAATCTTGTTTACTGTTACTTGTTGTCCTCCCCACTACTCAGGAGTCCTGGTGTGATGCTGCAGGTTAACGCTCCGAACTACAAAGTCAGTTTGAACCTCAAGGTAGGTCATTCAAGCTCATCAGCCACTCCTCAGAAACCCCATACAGGGTCGTTATGAGTCAGAACCAACTCTACAGCACTTAACAATAACAACAACACTCTACCCATTTTTCTATACCTGTTCATTGCTCATGTATACACCTGGGGCCTTTTAAATTTTTTCACCTAGTGTACAGTTTCCTGGACATCTATTTCTGACCCACTATAAATTTATGTGTAAAAGCCCTAACAGTAACCAGATATGTATGCATGTATGTGTGTTTATCTTTGTAGTATATATGTGCACCTTAAAGTCGGACCAGGGGTTATATACACAAAATAGAGTGCCTAATACTATATTCAGGGAGTGTGGTGGCTACATAGTATAAGCACTGGACTGCAAACCACAAGGCCAGAGGTTTGAGCCCGTTAGCCACTCCATGGGAGAAAGAGGCTTTCCGCTCCTGCAAAGATTTAAAGCCTGGGAACTCTATACAGGTTTGCTATGAGTCATAACCCACTTGATGGCACTTAACAACACTGTAGTTCCTGCCATTGAGTCAATTCCAATTCATAATGATTCTGTAGTGACCATATGGTGATGGTGGTGGTGGTGGCATGCCATCGAGTTGGTTCCAATTTACAGTGACCCTGTATAGGGCTTCTGAAGCTGTAAATCTTTATGAGAGCAGAAAACGACCCTGGGTTTTCTAAGGACTGGCTGGTGAATTTGAACTGTCAACCTTGTGGTTCATACCAATATGCAGTCCAATGCTTTATCCTACAGCGCCACACCAGGACTCCAGTAATCCTATGTTGTTGTTGTTATATGCCAAGTCAGTTCCAACTCATAGTCACCTTGTTTAGGGCTTCTGAGGAGTGGCTGGTGGGTTTGAACTGCTGACTTTGCAATTCAAACTGACCTTGTGGTCCTATGTTGTTGTTAAGTGTCAAGTCAGTTAAAACCACAAGGTTTCTGAGACAAAAGTCCTTATGGAAGTTGACGGCCACATCTTTGTCCTGTGGAGTGGCAGATGGGTCCTAACCGATGATCTGTTGGTTAGCAGCCAAGCACATAACCACTGTACTATCAGTGCTCCTGGTCTATCCTCATTTAACACTATAAGGAGGAGAGGTGTGTGTGTGGTGGGGGATGGGGGTGGATTTCCCAGCAGTTCTGGTTAGTATGTTAAGTACATTTCACCCTAAAACCCAAATCTGTATTATTTAAAAAATGGTTTAAACAAAGAAGAGTCTGGATGCTTATTGAGGATTTAGATAACGACTTCCCTGTTAAGAAGAGATTTTTAAAATTGTGTTTTCATTATGACTCCATCTCCATTTATTGATCAAGGGATTTCTTGCCTCACTTAACTCCATAATCTGTTGCTTAGATTAAGAAAATGTGAAAGCTATTGTTTGGTATTGTGAGTAGAGACTCTTAAAGTGATACTTTAGAGGCTGGATGATTTGAATACTATAATCCCAAGCAAAGCAACCAATTGATCATGTAGAATATATCTTTATGCATTACTCTTTATATGGCCAAAGCACGCAGTGAAATGCATCAGATTAAATGTTTTGTAGATGTGCTCTGTTAGAGAAGCAGGAAATTCCAAGCATAGAAATATCCAACAGAAAGCACAAAATCAACATAGAAAATAATACATGTACAAAGCCCTTAATAAATCAATACATATGTTATTATTCATTTGACACGTTTTGAGCACCTCTCTTTTTTGAAAGGAAGAATGGGGTCTTTCTCTAAAAAGACTTTTGAGATAATTATCTCCTGTGACCCTGAGCCTGTTCCTTATGCCCCTTTCAAGTTCACCCTCTACCCCCACTGCCACACATATACTTTTGGATACCAGCAACTCTGCAACAAATTAGTCCTTGTCCCTTGGCTTGCGCCAGAGCATCCTCCAACAATAGCCTTGTAGTTTATTCCAAACGTAACTCAGCAATCTCAGAGGAAAAATACATAGTAAATTCTCAATTGGTAGGAACAGAAAAGTGCCCTTTATTTTGGTATTGCTTTCTTGCACCACTACTACCTACTATCTGTGCAGAGACCCTTGATAGATGCTCTTTGGATGAATGAAAGATCTGTATGTTCACTGTTTACGTTCCCCCTGCCACTTTACCACCCTATTGGTCACTTTACTGCTCATTCATTCCTCCTCCTGAGGGAAAATAGGAAAGAGAAAGAATGTGAATTTCAAGTCAATCCACATACTTAGTTCCCTCAGTAATTAAATCTTAGTACAATAAACTGCTCAAATTCCTTTAAGTCATTTAAGATTTTGTTCCATCCTAGTTGAACTGACTTGTCAATTAGACTTTGGACATCCATGAGATTAATATTTTGGTTGTAATAGTTAAAATAGTATTTGACCTATCTCTGGAAACATTTATAGGAAGTGAGGGGCTCTGTGGCACTGTGCGTTAGGAGGTAGGCTAACTGCAAGATCAGTGGTTCAAACCCACGAGCTGGTCTGTGGCAAAAGATGAGGCTGCCTGCGCCCAAAGATTTACAGTCTTGGAAACCCTATCCAGGGTCACTATGAGTTGGAATCAATTTGATAGCAGTGGGTTTGTTTTGCTGTGTTTTTGGTAAACTCAGTGTAAGAGTCTGTCTAAAGACCAAAGCATATCCATAGGACTGCAAATCACAGGCTCGGCAGTTCAAACTCACCAGTCACTAGATGAAGCTTTATACCGCAGAATCCTGCTGATTCACAGCCTTGAAAACCCAATACAAGATCCCTATGATTGGAGTTGGAACCAACTTGATGGTACAACAGAAATTAAAGGATCAATAGCACTTAACAATAACAACAGAGACCAAAGGAAAAATAATTTACTAAGTACTTATTACATGAGTCCGAACTGCACAGTTTATATTGATCATCTCTTTTATAGTTTACAATTACGCAGGAAAGTAGGTGTTATATCCATTTTATAAATATGGAAACTGAGGCACAGAATAATCTGACCAGTTGCTCATCTACTAAGGAAAACTGGCCCACAGCCCCTCCAAGCACAAGCCCTTTAGGAATACGGATTGAAGATTGCAGGCTGCTTTCACTCATGTATGCTCTTGACACTTAACCATGGGTAACTAAAAGCTGACCCTGTGTTCCTTTTATAGACTTCCATGGAAGCTGGCAGCAGAGATTTTATGGGTAATTCATTTCAGCAGCTGGGAAAGTACTTTTATGAAATAAAGTCTTTATTTCAATGATTTTACCCCCTCCTTTATGAAAAAAGGGCGAAAGACCTACCACAAACACTTAACAAGAACGCTCCCATTTTGGGCAAGTTTTCAGCTTGGGCTATGTAGACTACTGAGGACATAGTGATAGCATTTGGGCACTTTGGCCTACGGTGTAAGAGGGGAGAGGTAATGAACAGCTGTGCGGCACAGCTCAAGTGTTGGTCTTCTTCACTGAGGGCAGTTGCCAGCGTCGGGTTTGTTTCTGCAATCCTCGCCCGGGGCCCTCCTCCGCAGGCAAGTGTCGAGCGCTGCTGCAGCGCCCGCATCTTCCCGCCCCCACGCGCATGCCAAGGCCGCCAGGGTCCTTATAGGGCAGCGCCCGCACCCCAGCGCACGTGACAGGGTGGGAGTGGCAGTTTTCTTCCGCCCCTCCTCCTTCCCGAAACTCCGCCTTCCCCAGAGAGGCTGAGCTTTCTATTGCGCCACTTCCGGAATGGCCACAATGTTAGCCAATCCAGTCGCGACTCCAGGAGTACACCCGCCCCCTCCTGGACCTCAGGTTCCTTCCCGCTCACACAGGAGTCACTTCCGAAGAGAGAGAACCGCCATGAAGAGAGAAGGGGGTGCCGCCCACCTCAGCTCCGACAGCCTCCCTGAGTCCCAGCAGCAAGACGGCAACCACGCACCCAACTTCGCCTGCCACAGCCCATGCCGCTGTCGCCAGCGGCGCCGACATGACAAGGCGCTGCATGCCCGCTAGGCCAGGTTTCCCCTCATCCCCAGCCCCGGGGTCATCGCCCCCGCGCTGCCATATGAGACCTGGTAGTACCACCCCTGCTGCAGCGGGAAAGAGAACAGAGAGTCCTGGGGACAGGTACCGTGCGGGGGGCTTGAGAAGGGGACTGGTCGCGGGGGCAAGGGTGAGGGAGGACTGCGGCCGGCCGCTTTTCCATTTCCCGCCGTCCTTCGCGTGCTCAGGCCTGGCGTTCCGGGGCCTGGCAAACCCCCGCCCCATATCCGCTCACGGACTTCTGGGAGTACGAGTCTCCTTGTCTGTAGTTGGGAAGCTGTTCTTGGTCTGGGATCCCAAGCCTGACTGGCTACGGAGAGCCCGTCCTAGGTAGATGGTGACTGTTCTGTGTTTTACGGTAGCTTGACTGCGGGGGGG